GGGGTGCCTGCTGTCCCGAACGCCTCTGGGAGGGAGGGATGAGAGGGATGGGGTGGGAAGAAGTCCTATTGGGAACCCGAGGGAGCTTTCCTGCGGCCAAAATCCGTTCATCCAAAGGAAATGACGTGCTGTCCCCTGCTTTCCACCTTCTCCCCAGCAGCTCGCTGCTGTATTTTATGAGTTTGTTCGATTTTCATATCCAAAATACCCTGTTGAGGCAGCAGACAACCCCTAATACTTTGCTGCACACTCTTCTGCTGGGATGTGCTGGGAAAAGGAATGGAATGTTCACAGAAATACGAGCTTAGGGGATGCCCGTTGCTGTAAACACCACCATGCTTTGCCTTGGATAAAGCCTGTGTGTGTTTTCCCTGCTGGAAGCGTGCACGGGTGGCAGCAGAGCTCTGGTAGAAGGGCTTCCCTAAAAACAGCAGCGCTCTGGCTCCAGGTGAGCCCGCTGGAGTTTTCCTCTTGCCTTCTTCCTCTTCCTCGCAGGTTTGTACAAAAAGTCTGGAAAACTGGTGTTCCTGGGGTTGGATAACGCAGGGAAAACCACTCTCCTGCACATGCTCAAAGATGACAGGCTGGGTCAGCATGTCCCCACGCTACATCCCAGTAAGTCTTTCTGAGTAAAGCCTCCCGGTGCGGCATTTCCTCTGGAATTTTGGGGACATGGTTTTGGAAGACACCTTGTTGGTATAAGCTCTGCCTTGGGGCTTTGGGGGTCTTAAAACCTCAGCTGAGGTTGCAACTGCCCGAGCTGAAGTGGGTTTGTGTTTTCCTCTCAAGTATAAAACACACAGGAACTGGTGTTGTTCAATCAATGCGAGGTTTTCTCGGGGGAAGGGAGAATTTTCCTGGTGAAAAGTGTAATAAAGGATAATAATTGCAGATTAAAAGCCTTCAGTGGGAGGCTGGAGAAATTATTTTTTGTGAAACAGCTCCATTTCAGTCACAGATCTGCAGGAAATCCAGGGAATTCCTGATTGGAGGAGCGTGTGCGATGCCAAGGCGAATCCCCAAGGAATTCTGTGACAGCTTCTTTATTTTCCTGAATCCCTGTGTTTTCCCTTTTTCAGCATCAGAGGAGCTGACAATTGCTGGAATGACCTTCACGACTTTTGATCTGGGTGGACATGAACAAGGTAAGAAAAAACTACCAAAAATTGATACTGACAAGCATCAGCAGTAAACAGTGCCTAATTATTCACTGCCTGGGCTTATTTATGGAGCAACACATGGAAAGAACCTCCTGGCTGGAGGATTGTTTGGAAGGAAACACTGCCAGTTCGTGCTCTGCTGCCTGAAGTATTTTTAGCTGTGGGGGACTCCAATATGAATTTATTTCGAATTGCTGAACTTTTAGTTTTAGAGTTTCTAGAAGTTCTAAACAGAGTTTTTCTGCCCTTTTCCCTTTTTTTTTTAATGCACACACAAAAAAAAAAAAAAAAAAAAAGCAGTGTTTTCATGGGGCTGTGTTTGTCCCTCTGTGTTCCAGCTCGCCGGGTCTGGAAGAACTACCTGCCTGCCATCAACGGGATTGTCTTCCTGGTGGACTGTGCAGATCACTCACGGCTTATGGAATCCAAAGTTGAGCTTAATGTAAAAATACTTCTCTTTTTTCCCCCTTTCCTAAGACCTAAATTACAAATAATAGTCCTTTTTTGGGCTGGAACTTGTGCAAAGTGTGTTTTGAGAGTCTCATGCTTTGGATTGGCACTTCCAGTGAGAAGCCTGGATGCCCTTACTCTGGGTGGAGCACAGGCTCTTGAGTTCAGGGGAGGTTTGGTTTGGACATCAGGAGGAGTTTCTTGCTGGAAGGGGTGGTCAGGCCCTGGAAGGGGCTGCCCAGGGAGGTGGTGGAGTCCCCCTCCCTGGACGTGTCCAAGGAACGACTGGACGTGGCACTCAGTGCTCTGGGCTGGGCACAGGTTGGACTCGATGGGCTGGGAGGTCTTTTCCAACCTAACTGACTGTTGTGAGTCTTCCCCAGGAGCATGGAAGCACCAAAAAACAGCCCTTGTTGGTCACAGAGCTTAAACAAAATCATTTTCTTCCAAAAACAGCTCTTTTTTACTGCCTCTGCTGAACTCTCGCTCCCTCTTGCCCACAGGCCCTAATGACAGATGAGACAATATCCAATGTGCCAATCCTTATCCTGGGTAACAAAATCGACAGACCCGAGGCCATCAGCGAGGAGAAACTGCGGGAGATCTTTGGGCTCTATGGACAGACCACGGGAAAGGTAGGGAGGCATCCAGGCCTTGGATCTGGAGGGGAGGGCTCGCCTGTTCCCTTTCAAAGTGAGGCTCCATCCAGAAACTAATTCAGCTCTCACTGACAGTTTGTCCACAGGATTGGCCAAGGTGAATCAATAATAATGATGATGGTTCCTTCCAGTGCCTGAAGGGGGCCTACAAGAAACATGGAGGCAGATTATTTACCAGGGCCTGGAGTGACAGGACAAGGGGGAATGGCTTCCCACTGCCAGAGTTAGATGGGATAGTGGGAAGGAATTGTTTCCCTGTGAGGGTGGGGAGGCCCTGGCACAGGTTGCCCAGAGAAGCTGTGGCTGCCCCATCCCTGGAAGTGTCCAAGGCCAGGTTGGACGGGGCTTGGAGCAACCTGGGCTAGTGGAAGGTGTCCCTGCCCATGGTAGGGAGGTGCACCAAGGTGTTCTTTAAGATCCCTTCTGTCCCAAACCATTCCACGATTGGACAATGCCAATGCCCTCGGGCAGGTTTTGAAACTGCCAGAACTGTACAAAACACGGGGGGCTGTGAGAGGGGTGTCCCTGGGTGGTGGTGGCTCACTGGGCGCTTCCCCGAGGGCTTTAGGGGTGCAGCACTGACTCCTGTTTGGATTTCCCTAGGGAAACGTGCCCCTGAAGGACCTGAACGCGCGCCCCATGGAGGTGTTCATGTGCAGTGTGCTCAAGAGGCAAGGCTATGGCGAGGGCTTCCGCTGGCTATCGCAGTACATTGACTGACACGAGAGTCCCGCTCCTCTGGACTGATCCTGTTCACAGCTTGCTATGGACTTTTCTATTAGAACACGGGAGGCTTTCCAACCACATTGACCAAGAGACTCCTGGTTTTCCGGCTGCCCTTACAGCACAGTGGTGACACCACTCTTTTCCACGCGGCGGGGAGGCAGCGCCGTTCCGCAGGAGTTGTCCCTGTCAGCTCAGTGGCAGCGGGGCTGCTCCAGTCTGGGAAGTCAAAACTCTGCACGCTGCTCTGTAACAGCTGAAAAAGAGAGCACGTCTCACCACTGTGGTTTAATTGACTTCAAAAAAAAAAAAAAAAAAAAGAAAAAAAACGAAAAGGAAAAAGCAATTATATTTTTTAAAGAAAGTGTTAATGTAAACGGCGTCCCTCCTAACTTTTTAGTTTAACGTTCATCTTGTTTAGTCCAGAGTATGGTTTAGGGTTTTTTAAAAATATATTTAACGATATTTAGGTATTTCACGAATTACTGAACCAAGGTATCACGATATTAGAAGTCCTCAATAAACATAGCATTTGGGCTTAACTGAGCTGTAGGGTGGCTGTGCTGTGTCACGCTGACCGACAACGACGTGCCGTTGGGACTGAGGTGTGCAATCCCAGCTTCTTTAGTTTACAGGGATTTTTTTTTTTAATTTTTCCTAGTTGGAGAGGAGCACCTGGTGCAGGTTTGGGGGATGGTGTCCGGCACTCGCTGACAGTGGGAAGGGGCTGCCTGGTTCCACCTCAGGCCAGACTCTCCCATCGAGGGCATCGGGTCCTCTGGCTGCGCCATCGCAGTGAGAACCACAAAGCTGTTTTGGTTGTTGTAGCATGGAAGTGTTTGACATTTGCATATCATGAAGTTATTAATGTAGACTAAACCGGTTTCTTTTATACTCTCGATGGACTTCTTTTGTCTGAAGTTTCATTACTGTCTGGCACTCATTTTCAGTTCAATAAAGACGTGTCTTTCTCCTCTCAGGGGGCAGGAGCCTCAGTCTGGCCTGGCACTGGCTGGGCCCCGCTGTGGCCGTCGGAACAGCTGCCACAGAGTTCCAGAAGGGTTTGGCCAACGCTCTCAGGAAAACAGCAGGATTCTTGGCATGTCCTCTACAGGGCCAGGAGCTGTACTCAGTGATCCCTGTGGGTCTCTTCCAACTCAGAGTATTCTATTTGTTCTCATCATCATCATGGCTGGGCTTTGTGAACGAAGATTTGGGGAGGGCTCTACCCACATTTGTTACAAGCGCGCTGGTGGCTAAAAAGGCCAATACGAGACAGGCATGTCCGGTTGCAAAAGGCACAGCAGAAAGACTCCTTAGGTGGTAAATTCTGCAAGACATGATTCTTTCTGCGTTGTCTTTTCTCCTCAAGGGTGATCCTGCTGCGTTCTCAAAGGCATCAGCAACGTTATAGATGGTGTGTCTGCAGACCTCCCGATTGGAGGCCAGAGTAGACCAGTGATGTTGGTCAATAGGGCCAAGGCTGAGATATTGTTTCAGGCAGTCCTTGTATCTCCTCTTTGAGGCTCCTCTCATGCGGCAGCCGGTGGCAAGTTCACCATAAAGCAGGATCTTAGGGAGGGAGTGGTTGGTCCTTCATCCTGGAGACGTGCCCTGCCCAGCCCAGCTGCGTTCTCAGCAACATGGCCTCAATGCTTGTGACTGCTGCTTGTTCTAGAACAGACGTACTGGTCACATCATCTGACCAGTGGATGTTTAGGATTGTGCGGAGACAGCGTTGATGGAAGCGTTCTAGGAGACGCAGGTGGTGGCGGTGACTTGCTGCGGGTGAGCTGCTGCCCTTGGGAAGGTGGAGAGCAAGCCCGGACATGGGGGTCCCTGGATCCCGGTGTCCCGGTGTCAGCCCCGGGCCGAGGGTCCCACACCCCCCTGGCGCGTTCCTCGGGGGCGTGTCCGCCACGTGCGCGCCAATGGGGAGGGCGCGGAGCGGGGTGGGGGCCAATGGGCGCGGGGGGCGGTGCCGGGGGCGGTGCCGGGGGTGCCCGGGATGGCGGCGGCCCCGCCGTGCTGCGCCGTGCGGGTGCGGGGAGCGCCGGGGGGCGCGGGCGGCGCGGGGCCCGGAGGCGGCTGCAGCGGGGTGGTGCTGAGCCGCCGGCCCGCGCTCGTGCTCTGCCCCGCCGCCCCCTTCGCGCCGTTCCTGCGCGCCGGCCCCGCCGCCTGGGAGAGCCCCGCGGCGCTGCCGCCCGGCGCGCTGCGGCCGGTCCCGCGGCCCCGAGTGCTGCTGCGCGGGGAGCACGGCCCGCCGCGGGAGCTCGGGGCGCGTTTGCTGGCGCTGGTGCCCTGCGCGCCCTTCCGGCGGGCGCTGGAGCGCGGCTTCGGGCGGGCCGAGCGGTGGCGGTTCGCGGCGGCGGCGGCGGAGGAGGAGGAGGAGGCCGGGGCGGACCCGCGGGCGCTGCCCTGGTTCGCCTGGCTGTGGGTGCCCGCGCTGGACGAGCCCGCGGGCGAGTGGGCGGCGCGGGGCAGCGCGGGCTGCCTGCGGAAGGGGCAGGCGCTGCTGGCCTGCGGGACCCCCTTCGGAGACGCGTGCCCCGAGCTGTTCCTGAACACGCTGAGCCGGGGGGTGGTCAGCAACCTGGCGGGCGAGGAGAACGCGCTGGTGCTCACGGACGCGCGCTGCCTGCCCGGCACCGAGGGCGGCGCCGCCTTCGTGCCCGCGCCCGGCGGGCCGCGCGTGGTGGCCGTGATCGCCGCGTCCCTGTGCTGGAAGGGCGCCGAGTGGGTCGGGCTCACGCTGCTCTGCTCGCTCGCCGCCATCCTGCGCAGCAGCGCCGCCGTGCTGGGCGAGGCCGGGGTCGCGGTGCCGCCCGTGCCCGCCTGGGTGGCTGCGGTGCCGGCGGGCAGCGGGCGGGACCCGCTGGGCTGGACGGCGCTGGTGGAGTGCGGGGCGACGTGGGGCTCCGGGGTGCTGCTGGCGCCGAGGATGCTCCTCACCTGCCGGCACGTGGTGGAGGCCAGAACCCCGCTCCGTGTGACGCCCGCGGCTGGCCCTGGACGGTGAGTGCGGCCGCGTGTCCCACACCTCGTCCCCCCCCGCCCCGCGAGTCCCCCCGTATGACATCTCGTCTGCCGTGTCCTCAGGGATGCCGCAGTCCTCAGGGGACGCGTGGTGTTTGCCACCGAGGAGTCGTCCCCCTTTGACGTGGCGGTGGTGGAGCTGGAGGAGAGCGTACCAGGCTTCCTCCCCCCGTGCCCTGCAGACACCTTCTTCCCAGGTAAGCAACGGGGGGACACGGGGTGTTGGGTTGGAGGGGGGGACATAACCCCCTGTGCACCCACCTCTTGCCTCCCCCTTTCCCCCCCAGGAGAAGAGGTGAGCGTGGTGGGCTTCGGGGCGCTGGGGCGGGCGTGTGGCCCCTCGGTGACAGCGGGGATCCTCTCGGCCATGGTGGCAGTGGAGGGGCACCCTGTCATGCTGCAGACCACCTGTGCCGTGCACGGGGGCTCCAGCGGCGGCCCCCTCATCTCCTCCCGCAGCGGGTGCCTCATGGGTGAGCCGGGGGTGCAGTGGGGAGGGGGGTCCCGTGGCTGCCCCCCGGCCACACCCGGTGATGTGGGCATTGCTCCTCTCCTTGCCAGGGATCGTGGCCAGCAACACCCGGGACAACGGTGTGGGGGCCACCTACCCCCACCTCAACTTCTGCATCCCCATCACGGTCCTGCAGCCCCTCGTGGCGCGGTACCGCCGGACCCGCGACCCTGGCGCCTTCGCCGGGCTCAACCACGCGGCACAGGGGGTGCGGGCGGCCTGGAGGCTCCAGCAGCAGCCAGGACCCCCCAGCAAGCTCTGACCCCCCATCCCAGGCGGCTTGTGCTGTGGACCGAGGTACCAGGACCAAGGTGCCAGGGATGGAGCTGCCATGGCCCCTGTTCAGTGCGGGGCCCGAGCGCCTGGACCCCGCGGAACCAGTGGAGGGTGGGCACTCTGGGGCAGGGGACACCACACAGTGCCTTTGCCAGCTGCTGACAGGCCCAAGATGGGGAGATTTGGGGTTTGTATTGTTTTAGTGTCTCCCCAGAGCCATAAATGCTGTGAGTTGAGGCCCTGGTGTCCCGTGGTGCTGAGCGGCTGCGGGGGGTGGTGGTGGAGGTCTGGGCTGGGGTGTGGGTTGGACTGGGGGAGGAACAGGTCCTGCAAGGGATGTTCTGGGTCAGGGGTAGAGGACTGGGTCGAGCTTAGGGTTGGGGACCAGGACGAGGAGGGCAGATATGAGTCCTGTGGCTCAGAACCCTGTGGGGGTGGGGAGGGGGTTATTTTGAGGCCTGGGGTCCTGGAGAGGGTCAGGAACTGTAAACAGGGCAAATCCTTGGGGTCCTTGAGACTCAGGAGCTGGGGTGGGGACACATCCCCGGGGAGGGACATCAGTTCCAGAGTGGAGTGCAGGGACCAAACACAGGGCACTTGGGAGGGGGTCCCTCCCTCCCCTACCCACTCCTCCACCCCAGCAGTGCCCCCTCACGGGGGAGGGAGGGCACACTATCACCACCACCACCTCCCCAGGACCCCCTGCAGTGCCGGGGGGTGGCGGGGGAGGAACGGGGGGGGAGGAACGGGCGGGCGAGTGTTTGACACAGCACGGGGTATTTATTTCACAACGCTGCTACACAACGCCGGGGCCGGGGCAGCCACGCAAGCACAACATGGAGGGGGATGCAGGGAGGGAGGGGCGGGGGGGAAGCTTCTCTATAGGGTTTTTTTTTGTTGGTTGTTTTTTTTTCCTTTTTTTCCCACTTTTATTAGCGCCGTTTGCCCGGTTGAAGACCACGCAGCAGCACACTAGGCCTACAAGGCTCTACCCAAAAAAAAAAAGCTCAAATTCGCACAAGCGCGGGCCCCCCCTGCCCCGCTCGCCCCCTCCCTGGGCGAGCACCCCGACACCCCGTCCCGCACGGGGCCGGGGGGAGACGCACCCACCCCTCGCCACACCGGCAGCGGGGGGGTCACAGGGACCCCCAGCTGGGGGGCTGCCTCCCGGCCGTGCCGCCCACCGGGCTCTCCCACTCCTCTACCAGATGTAGCCGCCGTCGTCACCCTCGCCCGCTTCGCCCTCCTCTTCCTCGCCTTCCTCGCCCGCCTCCTCTGGCTCCTTCTCCTCCTCGTCCTCCCAGCCCACGCTGCTCCCGAAGTCTCCCGAGAACCCCGTCGCCTCATCTGGGGAAGGAGGAGGGCGAGGGGCAGAGGCTCCCAGGGCTGCAGCCCCCTCCCCGGGCGGGGGCTCCCCCCAGCTCTTACCACAGTCGGGGCTGCCGTGGCCGCGGGTGCCCGTCAGCTCGGCCCCGTGCTGGTCCACGCACCAGCACTCGCCACCACCCGGCTCGCACTGTGCCCGCCGGTAGTACCCGTCTTCATCGCAGCTGGGGATGAAGGTGCCTGCAGAGAGCAAGGGCCCCCCAACCCCCAAACGCAGTGCAGTGCCAGAGCCCCCCCAGGGAGCTCCCCGTCCTCATCCCAGCCCGGCACTGCTGGGGAAGAGGGCCCTGGGACGCCCCACTCACCTGGCTTTTTTTTGGTGGCTTCTTGGATCTGAATCATCTCCAGCTCCCGGAGGCAGGGCGGCTCTGCAGCACCCCCACACGCCACTCTTAGGGTGGGTGTGCACCCCCTGAACCCACAGCATTCGTCCCCATGATGTGCATCCCCTCCAACTCCATAGTGTGCATCCCCCCGATGTGCATCCCGCCAACCCGTGGACTGCATGCCCCCAGACCCACAGTGTGCATTTCCCATGGGGTGTGTGTGTCCAACTCCACTCTGTGCATCCCCATGACGTGCATCCCTGCCAACCTATAGATTACATCCCCCCCGACCCCACAGTGTGCATCCCCTAGGGTGTGGATCGCCCCTTAACCCATGATGTGCTTCCCCATGACCCACAGTGTGCACACCCCTTATGCCCCCCTCACTGCGTAACTGCCCCCTGACCCCACAGCATGCATTCTCCATGCCCCCACAGCATGCATCCCCCCCATGGTTTGCAACCCCCTTAGACCCCATGGGGTACCTCCCCCCATGGCAAACATCCCACACAAATCCCAACCCCACAGCATGGATTCTCCAGGACTCCATGAGGTACATCCCCTCCAACCCCAATCCCACAAAATGGATTCCCCATGACCCCATGATGTACATCACCCCGCAATCCCAAACCCACAGCACGGATTCCCCAGAACCCTGTGATGTACACCCCCTGCTGCATTAGCCCCAATCCCGCAGCAGGGATTCCATGGCATGCATACCCCAATCCCATGGGGTGCATCCCCCTCATGGTTTGCAACCCCCCAGACCCCATGGTGTACCTCCCCCCAAGGCAAACATCCCACACACACCCCAACCCCACAGCATGGATTCCCCCTGACCCCATGATGTACATTGTCCCCCAATCCCACAAATGCATTCCCCATGACCCTGTGTTGTACATTCCCCCCGTTCCAACCTCAACCCCACAGCACATATTCCCCATGGCCCCATGATGTACATCCTCTGCTCCACTAACCCCAACCCCAGGGCACAGATTCCAGGGCGTGCATCCCCCCCGATCCCACGGTGTGCATTCCCCATGGCACAGACCCCCACCCCCACAGCAGAATGCCCACCCCCGCCGCCTCCCCCCTGCCCTGGGGTGACGCACTTTCCCTCCAGAAGCAGAAGCACCACTCTGGCGCGGAGACTCGGCCGTCCCTGGAGGTGTCACAGGAGTTGAAGAAGGCGCGGATGCAAACCTCGTACTTGTCCAGGTTGATGGCGCCCAGCTCGGCCGCCTCCAGGAACATGTCCCCGCTCGTGTCCAGCCGGGCAAACATCCACCCCACCGCCTCCTTGCAGGTGGCCGCCACGCTCCTCTCCAGCGCTGCAGGGTGGGATGAGCCCCGTGGCTGCCCGGCTACCAGTGGGGGAGAGCCCCCCACGTGCCCTCCCCAGGGGCAGGTGGCAGGGACACGTACCGGTGGTGGGGCTGGCGGGGAGCCCGCCGGAGCCGTTCTGCTTGGCGTTCTCCCGCAGGAGCTGGAACCAGTCGCGCAGGCGGTCGCCCAGGTCGGCCAGATCCTGCCCGGTGCACAAGTCTGGGGGTCCCAAGGAGGCAGCGTCAGGCCGGGTAGAGCTTGGGGAGAGGTCTGGGTGCCCCCCCATCCCGCTCACCTTGCTTTCCGTCGCCAGTGGGACCGTGCGGGGTCGGGCAGGGGCACTGCCCCTCGCACCGCACCGTCAGCTGCTTGCTGGCCAGGCATGCCTGCTGCTCCAGCTTGCACTGCGGGGCGGCAGCGGGATGTCAGTGGGGGGACACGGGGCACAGCATCCCCCTCCCCGCGGCGGTGCCGCCGTCCTTACCGCCGAGCTGTAGGTGTGGCCGTCGGAGCCGCAGACTGCGGCCAGCGGGGCAGTGTGGCAGGGCTTGCAGCCCCCGTGCGCCTTGGGGCCCAGCGGCTTGATCCTGCACAGGGCAAGGGAGGCACGGGGGGAATGGCACCGAGCCCCCACCTCAGCCCCACCACCCGCTCAGCCCCGGCCCCACCAACCTCCTACCTATGCTCCAGCTTCTTGCGGCTGATGCACATGGCGCGCTGGTAGCCCTGTGCCACACACACCTTGTGCCGGCTGCACTTCACCTTCTGGCAGGGGTCCTTCGTGGTGTCCAGGGCTGAGGGGGCAGAGAGGGGCCAGGGCAGGCGGAGGGGCAGGCGGGTTCTCCCCCGGGGAGCCCCAGCAGCGCTGGCCACAAGCCGGCCCAGCACAAAGCACCATTCAGGCCACAGCTGGGCGGCCACCCCAGCACCAGCTGCTGCTTCCTGGCACGCACAGGCCCTGCCACCACTCCCGGCCGGAAGGGAAAATCTCCAGGGGTGCAGGCAGAAAATGTTACACCCCCCACCCCCCACCATACTGGCTGGCACCGAGCCCACTGTGCCCCATCCCAAACCCATCCCGGTGGTACCTTCGTCCCCGGGCTGGTTGTCTTCCCAGCTCTTGATGTAGTCATCCTGCAAATTGGGTAGAGCCTGGATGAGTGCAGGTGGCAGGAGAGGTGACACTGGGCCAGGTGTGCCACCTCCCTGCTCAGGGCCACCAACCCGGCGACATTCCCCCTGCACACCCCCCTCGGGCACCTCCACACCAGGAGGGCAGCGAGCAGGGCTGGGGAGCAGCCTCTCCCCCCCCAGAAAGCGGGGTGCCACCCCCTCGGCAGCCCCTCGAGGCTCACCTCCACCTCCTGGCAGCGCAGCAGCGAGACAGCCCGGCCGGCACCGAGAAAAGAGAGAGAAAGAGAGAGCGGGAATGCTCTCCGTCAGCCCCGGGGCAGCCCAAAGCTCCCCCTCCCGGCCCCAGCCCACAGGGACCGGCACCTTGTGCCAGCGGGCCACCCCGACCTTCCGGTGCCCACAGGCCCTGGAGATCACTTGCACCGACCACCAATGTTCTCCCTCATCTCTGGCTCCAGACCTGTAATCCTGGAGAGCCTTCACAGAGGATAAAGCCTTTCCCCATCAGCCAGCCGGGAAAGGCAGGGAACAGGGATGAAAAAGGCATCGGGTGGAGGGAGCCCTTCGAAGTGCAGAGAGAGGCCCTGACAGGATTCCCGTGGTGCTGCCACCCTGGATTTTCAATGGCGAGCCCAGAAGGAGAGGCCAAGATGGATGTCACTCTCCTGGGAGAGCTGCTCTCCCGGGACCCCGAAGGCATCCCGGAGGTGGGAGGGAGCAGCGGGGACTCAAACCCTCCAGGCAGCGGCATCGCCCGCCCCGCGGGATGCTCCGGGGTGGGCTTTGTGATAGGGTAGGAGCATCGCCGCTGCCCGGGAGAGGGCGAGCGGGGCAGGGATGGCAGCTGGAAGCAGGGGCACGGGAGGCAGATCCGGAGGGGATGTCTCTCTCCGCCGCGGCGGTGTTCGCACCGCAATCGATCCCGCGTTCCCGTGCCGTGATTAGTAACACTGCGGCGCCCGGCAGCTCCTGCGGCGCGGGTCTCGCCACGGCCGCCGGCCTCCTCCTCCCCGTGCTTCCCCACACCGGTGCTGCTCAGCTGAAACCCCCACAAATCCATGGATT